GCACCATTATAGCATTTCAGGAAGAGGCTGAGCTCATCTGCTGAGTGCCTTAGTCCCCAGACATGCCCGAAGACTAAGGACAGACCTGTCTGCCATGATGGAACAGTCCTATAGTGGCAGCCACGGCTTCCAAATATTTCACTTGATGGAGAGAAAGGAAGGGTGTGGAGGGAAGAAACAGTGTGAAGAAAGGGGACTTTTCCTGGATTCCCACTGAGGGCCTTCTAAGGGGCACAGCTGGCTAAAGACATCATGGAGGACTTGGGATGAGGCCAAGGGGCCACCTGTCCCAGCAGCTGCCCTTCCCAGGTGAGAGAGCACCAGTGAGAGGAAATGAATTATATGTTGTGTCTGAGACGTGTGTGTGCGCGTGCGTGCGTGCGTGCGGTCGGGCGTGCGTGCGTGTGTGTGTGTGTGTGTGTGTGTGTGTGTGTGTGTGTGTGTGTGTAAGAGACTGGGTATGAGAGTAAGTGTAAATACTCCATGCCTCAGTGTGTCTGTGTGTGAGAGACAGTGCTCATGTTCATGATTGAGTCTGAACAGATATAAGAGCAAGTGCCTGCATATGAGAGTCGGTGCAGGAGCAAGTGTGAACACCCAAAAGTACATTTGTGTGTGAGGGAAACAGCACAAAGAGATGAAGTCAGGACAGAGACTGGCCTCCAAGCGTGTCCTCCAAGGAAGTAAAACTACGCTCTATGCCTATATCCCAGCCTGGCTCCTCACCTGCCAAACCTGCAAAGGTCACCTCTCTCTGAATCTCCATCTCCTGGGCCATGACACTGTGTGTGTGTGTGTGTGTGTGGTGTGTCTGTCTGTCTGTCTGTCTGTCTGTCTGTCTGTCTGTCTGTCTGTGGGTGTCTTTCCAAGGATCAATGAGGGACCAGTCCACCCTCAGGCACAGGCCACTGTGACTATTAGTGGCCTTTTCTTCACCCTTATGGAAGCCCTGGAGACCTTCTGCTACTGGGGAGTCAAATGAGGATTATGCCACCTCTGACTTGGGGGTGGGGGTGGGTGAAAAATATCAATTATGGTATTTCAGATACAAGCCTCAAGCTCTATCCCAGGAGCGCCAATCTCCCATTGTCTTTCAGATGTCTGGCTAGTTACCATCGGAGGGCTTGGCCTCAGTGAAGAATGTCTCCTAGTTTGCATAACAACAGACCCTGGGTGCACCCACACCTGTTCTGAGGGTATTGTTTTACGTGCCTAGGGACTGTTTAGGTGTGCCTCTAGGGTTAAAAGAATTTTTTGATATCAGCTTTATACATGATAGTAGATGTCTTCTGCAGTCACCCCCACTGTTGGATAGCTATTTAAGAGGATGCTTGAATAAACCAGGGATGCCAGACTCCAGCATGGACTGTGAGCCCTTCTAAAATGACAAGATGTCTGTGTGTTGTCTTTATCGCTGTTGGGTAGCTAGGAGTTTCCCAGTCCAGCACTCCCTGACTCAGAGATGGACCAGGGCCATTTGGTTGCTCTGATCGCAGCCCCAAAGACAGCAGTCTGGAATAGTTAGCCTCTGTAGCGTGGGACTGATACAAGCCGGGCCCTGGCAAAGGGGGTAACAAAACAAGGAGTTCAGGGGCACTGGGGAAGTAACCTTCGTGGTGGAGGATGGGGTCTGGAAAAGGAGCAAAATCTAGATGCTGCTGGATAGGTCTTCAGCTGTTCCTTAGCTTCTGCTTATGTCCAACTGCAAGTCTCTAGGACGACTGTGGTGGTTTGAATAAGTATGGTCCCCATAGACTCATGTGTTTGAATGCTTGGTCACTAGGGAGTGGCACTATTAGGAGGTGTGGCCTTATTGGAGGAAGTGTGTCATTGGGGGTGGCCTTTGAGGTCTCAGAAGCTCAAGCCAGGTCCAGTGTGGCTCAATTCCATTACTGCTGTCTGAGGATCCAGAATTCCAGCACCATGTCTGCCTGCATGCCACCATGCTTCCCAACATGATAATAAACTAAACCTCTGAACTGCAAGACAGCACCAATGAAATGTTTTCTTTTTAAAGGGTTGCCGTGGTCCTGGTGTCTCTCTACAGCAATAGAACACTAACTAAGACAACGGCATACTGCAAAAAAAGGAGAAAATCCATAGAAGTACAAAGACAGATGGGCCAGTGAGATGGCTCAGTAGATAAAGGAACTTGCTCAGACTGAAGACCCAGGTTCAATCTCCAGGACCCACATGGTTGAAGGAACCAACTTTCAAAAGCTGTCCTCTGATGTCTGTGAGTTTAAATATGCAGGCATAAAAGAGTGTGTGAAAGCTGTCCTCTGATGTCTGTGAGTTTAAATATGCAGGCATAAAAGAGTGCGTGAACACACACACACACACACACACACACATACTGATTTTTAGATATTAAAAAATTGGTTTTTAGACAGTCTTGTTTGTTTGTTCTGGCTGGCCTGGAACTTGATATGTAGACCAGGATGGCCTTGAAGTCATAGAGAAGGTCCACTTGTCTCTGCCTCCTGAATGTTGAGATTAAAGGTGTGGTGGTCGCTGTTGTCACTATTGACGGACAGACAGAGAGGCTGGCCATCTCTTCCTGTGCTTGCCATTCACAAATGGGTGTCCTGTGTCTATACCCTGTGAGCAATTTTTACTCTTTTATTGATTTTGAAAGTTCTTTATATGTTAAGGTTACCTCTGAACATTATTCAGAGTAACCCATAGATCCCATGAGGGAGTAGGCACAGACTTTTCCAGGGTCTGAGCATTGTGTGTTTGTCCCTCATTGGGTTGAGTAGTTCTGGAGTTCGGTGGCAGGATGGGGCTTGTCTGCTCAGGCAGAGAGGGAGGGCAGTGGTGAGGAAAAGACAGAAGGGTCAGAGCTGAAAGTAGGAGCTATGAGTGACAGCCTTAATGGAAGGCAGATGGAGGAAACAGGATTGCCCTCGCTGAAAGGAAGGGTCAAGGGGCACAGGGCTTTCTAAAGACAGGAACCTGGGGGACTGGCTGGTGGTGGAGCCTGGCTCCACTGTGTGATGCCTATGGGCTGTGAAAGGGCAAAGGTCAGTTTTCCTCCATCCTGCAAGTCTAGACCCTCTTAGGGCTCAGTGATAGAGAAGCTGAAGGGACTCTGAGCCACTGAAGGACAGTGTGTAGAGAGGCTCCACAGACACGGGAGAGTCTCTACCCAGCTGTGTTTCACTGAGCAATCTCTGGAGCCTCTCTGAGCCAGATTCCTTGCTCGTGAAAAGAATAGTGTTATTTATCTAATAGGATTTAGCAGAATCAGTTTGTAGAGTGTTTAGCCCAGCGCTAGGACCCAGGGACGCTTTCATAAAAGCAGGGCGTGCATTTGCATTTACACACGCATGTGTCCACACATTCCACAGTGTGTGCAGAGGTCAAGGACAACCTGTAGGAGTCTGTTCTCTCCTTCTGCCATGAGGGTCCCAGAGATTGAATTCAGGTCATGCGGCTTGGTGGCAAGCCTCCACTCTCTGAGTCATTTCACTGGCCCTGCTCTTGTTGTTACTCTGCCCCTCTGTCTGCCACTGGTGACATCAAGATGCCTTTCATTGGATCTAGGACTTTGAGAGCCCGGTGAATGATCAAGTTGTAGGTGAAGACACTGAGGCTAGGACCAGAAGGAACACATCTGGGCTCACCCATTACAGAGGGTTTATAAAATGTTCTCTGAGTTCCACTGGTGCTCCTGGGGACCTTCAAAGTGACCTTATTTAGAAGAAGGGTCTTGAAGATCTCATAAGGGTAAACTGAAGCCACTCTGCATCAGGGAAGTCCCTATATCTAAGGGCTGGAGACACTGGGGAAGGAAGGGGTGCTTGGAACAAAGGCATAGTCCTGAAGCAGGAAGCCACGATGTCCAGTCTACATGGGCTGGGTGCCCCAGGCTCCATGCATGTCACCCAAGCAGCCTATGAACTGAGCTACATCCCCAGCCCCCAGACACACTTTGTTTTTTGTTTTCCATGTGTATGAATGTTTTGCCTGCGTGTATGTCTGCGCACCACTTTTGTGCCTGGTGGCCACAGAGTCCAGAAGATGGCATCAGATCCTCTGGGACTAGAGCAACAGATAGATGGCTCTAAGCCACCACACGCATCCATAACTGCTGAGTCATCTCTCCAACCCCTGGTACAGGTTTTTTGTTTGTTTGTTTTGGCCGTTATTCCTAGAAAAACCCAGTAAACAATTACTGACCTGGCATTTACACTGTTGGGTGCAGTTCGAGAGTTCAAGGGCAGCCTGGGCTACATGAGCTCCTGTTTTAAAACAAATAAGAAACTTTGTTTCCAGCCAGTCAACTCTTCCCCAGTGTCAGATGGCAGGTGCCAAGCAGAGAGACCACAAACCCTGAATACAAGGTTGGAGCACTGATACCGCCCCATAACTAGCCATCTAGAATCATCAGGGCCTTGATGCAGGAGTCAAAGTTGCAGTCTCTGAAATTCCTATAGGGTAGAAGCTGTCCGGTCCTGCTACAGTCCCTTCCTACTTTGTCTCTGCTCTTGCTTCCCAGCTCAGGGTCTAGGATTCAGGCAGGTGAGATTATACCCGTTTTACAGACCAGGACATGAAGGTTCCTTGACTCCTTCCAGCGAGAAGTGGGGAAAGTGGGCAGCCTGTTTGGCCAGGAGTCAAGGGACAGAGAATAAAGAATTGTCCCAGTGTCTGTGGGGAAGAGTTGGGTGCAGTGTCCTCATTGTGCCACGCAGCCTGCATGCAGCGTGGAGACTGAGGTGGTTGCAGCTCTTCCTTAGGGAGTGGCTGCAGGGAGCAGTGTTCAGGCCCAGAACAGGGTCTGCATCACCTCTGGAGGGAGGCCGGCATTAGCCGGGCCGTGAGCCCAAGCGGAGCTGGGACGCCCTCTAGCAGCTAGCTCCGCGGGGGATGGTAGGGAGAGGAGGAGCCGGGGCAGTGAGGAGTGCCGTGAGGTCCTCCTGGGCCGCAGGGGGCACTGTGGCCGAACTTGAGCCCTCACACCGGCCAGCGAGAACCGGAAGTGGGTGTGGTAGAGTCACTTCCTGTGCGGAACCGCGGCCTGGGCGGAGGACTGGTCACTGGCGCTGGGTCTGAACCGGTAGATCGGGAGGAGGCGGCGTGTGGGCGTCGGGACGCACGGCCGTCGCCATGCCGTTTCTGCACGGCTTTCGCAGGATCATCTTCGAGTACCAGCCCCTGGTGGACGCTATCCTGGGCGCCTTGGGCATCCAGGACCTGGAGCGGCAGGAGCCCCTGGACGAGTGAGTGGCTGTGGTCCCTGTGGCTCCTGGGGCCAGCCCCAGCCCGAGGCGAGCTCGCAGCGTCTTGCAGGGCAGAGGACCTGGGCTTCGGCGCCGCTCCCTGTGCATGGATGCCGGGAGGAGACGAGCTGGCTGTGGCCGAGCGCACTTTCTGCAGACAGCAGGCCTCTCTCTCTCTCTGAGATTCTCTGAGGAAGGAAGCGGGTGTGGTTCTTGTGCCCTCTGCAGAGCTCCCCGGGTATTTGGAGCGCTGCGACAGGCGAGCACCCAGACCTGCTGCGCGGTGTGGAATGCATGGGGTGGAGTGGGCAGAGGTGGGGCGTTGGGACAGTCATGAGAGGAATTGCAGACACTGATTGTCAGTCTCACCGGGGAAGTCTTTTCTAAACCACATCAGCTCTTTCCTCTGAGGCCTACTCTGTAAGGGCATTGCTAGGCTTTTCCAGAACTCCGGGGCCGGGCTAAAGGGCTGCACATCAAGGCACTGCCGTCCTCCGTAGGCGGAGCCTAACATTCCGGAGGGCTGCCCCAGATAAGCTTTTTGTGTCCGGGCGTTGGTCGAATCTTGGGGCCAACCTATTACAAGAAGTCTGGTGGATGAGATTAGGGAGAAGAGCGAGTGATGAACTTCGTGGAGAGGTGGATCTGGAGGTGTTTGGGCAGTTGTCAGAGCTGGGCAAGGTGTGGAGCAGCCCCAAGCCCAAGAAGCTCTTAGTAGGTAGTGTTGACTAGGAAGGGTGAGAGCTTTGGGGCCTCCTTCTGGGTGGTGTGAGAGCCAGCTGGACAGAGCCAGCCATTGGTAGCAAGCTGAAGGATGGCTTTGAAACCACTTCAGATATGACCAAAAAAGGCTTCTGCCCCACCGAGTATGAGCAGTTTTTGTGGTTGATTGTGGAACAACACACAGGGTAGGGCAGCTGGTCCCCAAGTGTTACCACTGCGTCTGCTTTGCCTCTGATGTGCAGTTATGCTGCCGGCGAGGAGAGCCGCATCCTGGTCCTCACTGAGCTGCTGGAGCAGAAGGCCCACTCTCCATTCTACCAGGAAGGTGTGAGCAATGCTTTGCTGAAGATGGCTGAGCTGGGGCTGACTCGGGCAGCTGCTGTCCTTCTGCAGAGTGGGGCCAACCTCAATTTTGAAGGTCAGCAGGATCCCAGAGGGTCCAGGGCTAGGCAGCTAGGCCTGGCCTCTGCTTTTCCTCTTATCTGCGGGGTGACTTTCCTTATTCTTTTCCTTCGGGTGGCTTCCTCACTCCTGTGGGCTTTCCAGGTGGCTCATAGCACCTCGGCTCAGAGTGGTGTTGCTTCTAGCATGTGATCCTTATTCTTTTCCTTCGGGTGGCTTCCTCACTCCTGTGGGCTTTCCAGATGGCTCATAGCACCTCGGCTCACAGAGTGGTGTTGCTTCTAGCATGTGATTTAAGTTGCCAAACTTCCCCAGCTTCCAGATTAATCCCACTTCTATTATGGTGAAACTGCACCGGCAGTGCCCAGAGCTAAGGGAAGGTAATTTCCTGTGACTCTGAGCTGTCCTGCGGGTTTTGCTTAGATCCTAGAGGTGGGAAGATAAGCCATACTAGGCATCAGTTACAGCAAGCCTCATAGGTTTCTTAAGCATCCAGGATGATGAAGGGCCAACTTTCAGTCCTGCCATTCATTGGCTGTTACCCCAGGAGATAGAAACAGGTTGGACTGCCTCTGAACTAGTATGGGGCCAGTGCTGACCCACAACAGCCTTAGTGTCTTTCATTGGAAACCAGCTCAAAACAAGCTCAGACACTGCAGGCACCTGGGAACCCTGCAAGCAGAAGGGGGCATCTATTCCAAAGCCCTTCCATGTGGTCACCTGGCCTGGAAGCAGAAGGCTCTCTCTCTTGTGTGTGTGTGGTTTTTTCGAGACAGGATTTCTCTGTGTAGTTTTGTAGACCAGGCTGGCCTCAAACTCACAGAGTTTGCCTCTGGGGAGTGCTGGGACTAAAGGTGTGCAGCATCACCGCCCAGTGGCAGAAGATCTTTAGTGATTCAGGGATAGCTGGCAAGGTCAGGGCCTGCCAGGGCATTGTAATGAGAGCCTGGCTCAAGAACAAAAAGTGGCTGCACTGCCAGGCTTGAGCACAGCAGTCTCTCTGCTTGCTCCTTGGGAACAGTCCTGAGAGGAAGTGACAGAGAGGAGACTGAGGCCAACACAGATAAGTTGCATACCCATTGGAACTCACCAGGACTTTAGGCCTAGCATCTGCACACTTGAGGTAGCAGTGCTGGGGAGAGGCTCAAGGCCAGGTCCTGAACCTTTGAGAATGGACTGACCTGTACTGCTTTCTGTCCAGACCCTGTTACCTATTACACAGCCCTGCATATCGCTGTCCTGAGAAACCAGCCTGACATGGTGGAGTTGCTGGTGCGCCATGGGGCTGACATCAACCGGAGGGACCGGGTAAGAGTCAGGTTCAGTCAGCTTGGGTGTATGTGGTAGATTTACCAGCCAGCCTTTCAGGCCCCAGGCCAACATGGCTGCTATCCCTTTTGGCTCAGATCCATGAGAGCAGCCCCTTAGATCTGGCCAGCGAGGAACCTGAACGTCTGCCCTGCCTGCAGCGCCTCTTGGATCTTGGAGCAGATGTCAATGCAGCAGACAAAAATGGTAAGTGCCTCCGTGGGAGGCTGACTATGCTAGGGATATAGCCAGGTGAGCATCTGGGGGCTGGCCCCAGAGGATGACATAGCCACAGCTGGCATACAGGAGGAGGGTACCAGCCTGCCTGAATCCAGCACCCTGGAGAGTACAGTCACTGTCTCCATGCTGCCTCAGAAGGCATCAAGGAGTGAGCATACTCTGTCTATGTGTGGATGCAGACAGGTCCTGACCTTGCTGACCCTCTTGTTCCTATTGTGTGAATGAAAATCCAGTAGCTCTTCCCTCAGTCTTGAGAATCTTGCTTCCACCCATCTGTGGGCACACTGGCCTCATCCTTCCTTCTCCTTCCTAGGGAAGACAGCACTGCTGCATGCTCTGGCTAGCAGTGATGGAGTGCAGATCCACAACACAGACAACATCCGGCTCCTCCTGGAGGGAGGTGAGGGTCTACATTGTCCACAGCAGCTGCCATGCCTTCTGCTCCATCCCCCTCACCCTTGTTTGGTAAGGATTGCTGGCCGCCTCTCATTTTTGTTCCATGGCTCTTCCAGGGGCAGATGTCAAGGCCACCACCAAAGATGGGGACACTGTGTTCACATGTATTATCTTCCTCCTTGGTGAGACTGTCTGTGGGGACAAGGAGGAGGCCCCGATGATCAACCGCTTCTGCTTCCAAGTTACACAGCTTTTGCTGGCCCATGGGGCTGATCCCAGTGAGTGCCCAGCCCATGAGTCGCTCACACACATCTGCCTCAAGAGCTTCAAGCTGCACTTTCCCCTCCTGCGCTTCCTGCTGGAGTCTGGGGCCGCCTACAACTGCTCCCTGCATGGTGCATCCTGTTGGTCTGGCTTCAGCCTCATTTTTGAGAGGCTGTGCTCCCACCCAGGCTGTGCTGAAGATGATAGCCACATTGAGCTTCTGCATAAGGCTGAGACTGTGCTGGACCTCATGGTGACTAGCTCCCAGAGGCTCCAGCTACCTGAGAACTTCAACATCCACCCAGTGGGTAGCTTGGCAGGGAAGATCCAAGCCCTGCATGCCTCCCTGAGGCAGCTAGAGAGCTACCCACCACCTCTCAAACATCTGTGCCGTGTGTCCATCCGGCTATGCCTGCGGCCATGGCCTGTGGACACCAAGGTCAAAGCCCTGCCCCTGCCTGACCGGCTCAAGTGGTACCTGCTCAGTGCACACAGTGGTACAGAAGACAACTGCTGATGGACCCTGGAACAGAGTGGTCAGGGTTGGCTGAAGCCAACCTGCAGGTAGACCTGGTACTTGTCACAGCCTCTGGAGGGTCTTTTATCTGGGCAAGCTTTTGCCCTTTACTGAAATGAAACAACTAGGGTAGTGCCCTGGGGGCCAAAGGCATGGCTGCCTCCCGGAGACTCCCACCTCCTTCCTCCCTCTGCATTCTCAAGTCAGCCACATTTTGGAGGGGCTGGTGTGGACAGGACACATCTGCCCTCTGAATTGGGAGCTGAGCAGGCAATTTGCAGAAGCAGGTGAGCAGAGACCAGGCCCCTTGGAGCTTTGGCAGCTGATTGACCCTGAGGGGAGGCACATTCCTGGGTCTTTCAGGGACCAGTGCCAAATTCCTGGACCATCCAGTTAGGCCCTGCTCTGTCACCTCAAGTCTCACAGTGTTTTAAGGCGCTAGAGATGGCACTGAGGCTACCAGAGTGGTGGTGATCTTCTGGATTAGAGGCTTGCCCCATCCTATAGCCTTTAGTGACCTGTGGTTGGTGGCAGCTCTGCTCATGCCACGTCCAGGTCTTGGGGACTGTGCCTTCTGCTTAAAGGTGTCATGAGCACAACAGGACAGTCTGTCTCAAGGGCCTGGCTTTGTGAGGGGCTCCCCAAACATGTCACTGAGGCCAGAAGCTGGCTCTCCTCTCTAATGCTAAGCTCTTGCAGGCCCTTCCCAGGCAGCTTGGCCTTTGGGAGTGAGCAGAGATGATTAAAAATATTTATAAAATTAAACTTGGTGTCCTTGTGTGACAGTTCGGCACTTTCAAGTGATCTGACACATGTCCCCACACAGCATCACTCCAGACTGCCTGGGGCATTTGAAAACAGGGCTCATCCTTTTATTGACTGCAGTGCCTATCAGGGAGGAACTCCCAAGGAGCTGCAGAGGTAAGGAAGCCTTCCTTTACTGCAGGCTGCTGTGACCTATCACCAAAGAGGATTTGGAACGTGACCATTCCTAAAAGTGGTACCATCTGGCAGGTACCATGTGTGACTCTCCTGGCTGTCCAGGAATAGCAGGCAGTTCATACACTTGAGGTCCTTGGCAGCTAGTCCTATAGGTGGCAACTTGTGGAGAGTTGCCAGGATGCTGTTCGAGTGGCAGGGCTGCACTGCCCTAATCCACAGCACACCTTCCCACTGGAGGCTTGTCCCTCCCCTCTGGAGTCAAAGGTAATGGCAGGTGTGTTTAAGGCCCCCAGCTCTGGCCCCGGCTTGTGTGGATGCAGACAGGTCCTGACCTTGCTGACCCTCTTGTTCCTATTGTGTGAATGAAAATCCAGTAGCTCTTCCCTCAGTCTTGAGAATCTTGCTTCCACCCATCTGTGGGCACACTGGCCTCATCCTTCCTTCTCCTTCCTAGGGAAGACAGCACTGCTGCATGCTCTGGCTAGCAGTGATGGAGTGCAGATCCACAACACAGACAACATCCGGCTCCTCCTGGAGGGAGGTGAGGGTCTACATTGTCCACAGCAGCTGCCATGCCTTCTGCTCCATCCCCCTCACCCTTGTTTGGTAAGGATTGCTGGCCGCCTCTCATTTTTGTTCCATGGCTCTTCCAGGGGCAGATGTCAAGGCCACCACCAAAGATGGGGACACTGTGTTCACATGTATTATCTTCCTCCTTGGTGAGACTGTCTGTGGGGACAAGGAGGAGGCCCCGATGATCAACCGCTTCTGCTTCCAAGTTACACAGCTTTTGCTGGCCCATGGGGCTGATCCCAGTGAGTGCCCAGCCCATGAGTCGCTCACACACATCTGCCTCAAGAGCTTCAAGCTGCACTTTCCCCTCCTGCGCTTCCTGCTGGAGTCTGGGGCCGCCTACAACTGCTCCCTGCATGGTGCATCCTGTTGGTCTGGCTTCAGCCTCATTTTTGAGAGGCTGTGCTCCCACCCAGGCTGTGCTGAAGATGATAGCCACATTGAGCTTCTGCATAAGGCTGAGACTGTGCTGGACCTCATGGTGACTAGCTCCCAGAGGCTCCAGCTACCTGAGAACTTCAACATCCACCCAGTGGGTAGCTTGGCAGGGAAGATCCAAGCCCTGCATGCCTCCCTGAGGCAGCTAGAGAGCTACCCACCACCTCTCAAACATCTGTGCCGTGTGTCCATCCGGCTATGCCTGCGGCCATGGCCTGTGGACACCAAGGTCAAAGCCCTGCCGCTGCCTGACCGGCTCAAGTGGTACCTGCTCAGTGCACACAGTGGTACAGAAGACAACTGCTGATGGACCCTGGAACAGAGTGGTCAGGGTTGGCTGAAGCCAACCTGCAGGTAGACCTGGTACTTGTCACAGCCTCTGGAGGGTCTTTTATCTGGGCAAGCTTTTGCCCTTTACTGAAATGAAACAACTAGGGTAGTGCCCTGGGGGCCAAAGGCATGGCTGCCTCCCGGAGACTCCCACCTCCTTCCTCCCTCTGCATTCTCAAGTCAGCCACATTTTGGAGGGGCTGGTGTGGACAGGACACATCTGCCCTCTGAATTGGGAGCTGAGCAGGCAATTTGCAGAAGCAGGTGAGCAGAGACCAGGCCCCTTGGAGCTTTGGCAGCTGATTGACCCTGAGGGGAGGCACATTCCTGGGTCTTTCAGGGACCAGTGCCAAATTCCTGGACCATCCAGTTAGGCCCTGCTCTGTCACCTCAAGTCTCACAGTGTTTTAAGGCGCTAGAGATGGCACTGAGGCTACCAGAGTGGTGGTGATCTTCTGGATTAGAGGCTTGCCCCATCCTATAGCCTTTAGTGACCTGTGGTTGGTGGCAGCTCTGCTCATGCCACGTCCAGGTCTTGGGGACTGTGCCTTCTGCTTAAAGGTGTCATGAGCACAACAGGACAGTCTGTCTCAAGGGCCTGGCTTTGTGAGGGGCTCCCCAAACATGTCACTGAGGCCAGAAGCTGGCTCTCCTCTCTAATGCTAAGCTCTTGCAGGCCCTTCCCAGGCAGCTTGGCCTTTGGGAGTGAGCAGAGATGATTAAAAATATTTATAAAATTAAACTTGGTGTCCTTGTGTGACAGTTCGGCACTTTCAAGTGATCTGACACATGTCCCCACACAGCATCACTCCAGACTGCCTGGGGCATTTGAAAACAGGGCTCATCCTTTTATTGACTGCAGTGCCTATCAGGGAGGAACTCCCAAGGAGCTGCAGAGGTAAGGAAGCCTTCCTTTACTGCAGGCTGCTGTGACCTATCACCAAAGAGGATTTGGAACGTGACCATTCCTAAAAGTGGTACCATCTGGCAGGTACCATGTGTGACTCTCCTGGCTGTCCAGGAATAGCAGGCAGTTCATACACTTGAGGTCCTTGGCAGCTAGTCCTATAGGTGGCAACTTGTGGAGAGTTGCCAGGATGCTGTTCGAGTGGCAGGGCTGCACTGCCCTAATCCACAGCACACCTTCCCACTGGAGGCTTGTCCCTCCCCACTGGAGTCAAAGGTCATGGCAGGTGTGTTTAAGGCCCCCAGCTCTGGCCCCGGCCTCATCTCAGGGCAAAGCTGTAGACATGGTAGATCTCATCTGGCAGGTTCTCCTGGCGCTCCTCAGCCAGGAGGCTGAGGCCTGCACTGCGGATGATCCGGCGTACCACCTCGAGGTCACGGCACACACTGCTGTCCACATCATCCAGGATCACACCCTCCTGGGCCATGTTGTCTTTGATGACAATGATGCCATTGGGGCGCAGGCCCTGCTTGCAGCGGCGCAGAAACTCAGCCAGGTGCTGATCTGTCAGGTGGCCTGGGGAGAACAGAAGCTGTGTGCGCATGTGTGTGCATGCGTGTGTTTGTGTGTCTGTGCACCCTCAGCATGGAGCCAGCAAGCTAGTGTCGCTCAGTCTCAAATCCTATTCATGTCAGAGGAGGCCAGGGTTCTGAAGTCACCCACACAAAAGCATGCACAGAGTCAGAAGCTGGGCTTTAACCCAATTGGGTGCCCTACAGCTCTGACACCTGCACAGCATACCACCCACCCTTCCCAGGCCCGGATCGGAGGGTGAAGCTGAAAGCTCCCAAACAAAAGGGTCAGGCCCAGTGTCCACACTAGTGCTACAACCCCCCTCATGAGGAAGCATCTGCTACAGTGTCAGTAGTCCTGTGTATAGCAGTCTAGATGAGGCCATTTGGGCACCCTACCCCACCCCCACTGCTATAGCAAGAGTGCAGAGTTACACACTTCCAAATCGTTCAAACACCCCTGGCCTGGCCCGGCTGTACACCCTGTGACTCCACCACTTGACAGGAGGATTTGAGCTTGACGACAATCTAAGATACATAAGGGGGTGGGGGTGGGGATCACAATAAAAAGGTAATGATCTCGGGGCTGGAGAGATGACTTGGGTTAAGAGCCCCAACTGCTCTTCTAGAGGATCAGGATTCAGTTCCCAGCACCCACATGGTGGCTCACAGCTGTCTGTAACTCCAACTCCAGAGGAATCTGATACCCTCTTCTGGTTCCCATGGGTATTGCATGTACATTGTACACAGACATGCAGGCACTCATACATAAACATTTTAAATTATTTAAAAAATTCTTCCGGGGCTGGAGAGATGGCTCAGATGTTAAGAGCACTGCCTTCTCTTCCAGAGGTCCTGAGTTCAATTCCCAGCAACCACATGGTGGCTCACAACCATCCCTTATGAGATCTGGTGCCCTCCTCTGGTGTGCAGATATACATGGAAGCAGAATGTTGTATACATAATAAATAAATAAAATCTTAAAAAAAAATTCTTCCTAAGCAGACATGGTGGCACACGCCTTTAATCCCACCACTTGGGAGGCAGAGACAGGTAGATCTGAGAGTTCAAGGCCATTCTGGTCTACAAAGAGAATTCCAGGACAGCCAGGACTACACAGAGAAACCTGTCTCAAAAAACAAAACAAAACAACTCTTTCTAGTCAGGCAGTGGCGACACCTTTAGTCCCAGCATTTGGATGGCAGAGGCAGGCAGATCTCTGAGTTTGAGGCCAGCCTGGTCTACAGAACGAGTTCTAGAATGGCCAGGCTACACGGAAATCCTGAAAGAAAATATTCCTAACTGTTTTTTAGTTAATTTATTTTTACTTTTTATGTGTATGGCCTGCATGTATGCATTTGCACCATGTGTGTGTCTGGTGTGCAAGGCACATGCATTGGCTCCCCTACAACTATAGTTGACTATTACCACCCTTTCCGTACTGGGAACCAAACCCAGGTTCTTTGCAAGAACAGCTAGTGCTCTAACTGCTGAGCCATTTCTCTAGCCCCTGAGATAAGAATTGAAAAAGATTAAATCCTTATAGAACTCATTTTCACATCTCCAAATCGGTGTCACTGACCACTTAGGATTGTCCCCCTAAAGAGCAGGGTTCAGGATCTCAGGTGTCACATCAGTCCTGAGAAATGGGAGAGAGCTGCATCCTAGGTGTCTTAGGATTGTCCCCCTAAAGAGCAGGGTTCAGGATCTCAGGTGTCACATTTCAGTCCTGAGAAATGGGAGAGAGCTGCATCTCAGCTGCCAGCTCACTGAGGGAGCCAAACTAGGATCCCAAGGCTGGTGGGGCACCTGAGTGGCGGAGGGCATGGTGAGCATGGGGACTCTTACCTATCACCCACTGGATCCAGATCACATCATAGGAGTTGGGCTCTGGGCTGAAGTCCTGCAGCCCACAGCAGAAGTAGTTCCTCACCCTCTTGCCCTCTTCCCCCAGGTAGGTCTTAGCTTTGGCCAGAAAGTCCTCTGTCACGTCCACCATGTCCACCACCCTGAAGAGCGGCAGGAGCAGGCGCTTGGTGATCCTTCCAATGCCAGCGCCACAGTCCAGGGCACAGGAAGTCCCCGTCTTGTTAGGACCTTCCTGAAACACAGGGCAGCATGTGACCCACAAGGCACCACCACTGCAGGGCCCTTCTCGTGAGTCCAAGGAAGCAGAGTGAGGCTCCTGCACTGGCCTAGCATAAGGGGGCAAGTGGAATGCTTTCTAAGGCCGAAGGCAGTTCCCACTTTAAGGTGACAGCTAGAAAAACAGGTGCACAATCTCCTTCCACTCAGGAGTCCCCAGGGCAACAGTGCTAAGGATGCAAAAAATGCAAGCGGGGGCAACTGCTGAGCACCATGGGAAAATGGCCTGTGGGTAAAGGGCCTCCTGCAGGGCTCACCCCTGTGCTGCAACAAGCTGAGAAGGGAGGACATAGACATCTCTGCAGGACAAGAAGTCACAGGAGGACGGTCACTACCCACGCCCGGCAACCTTAGGCCCACAGGGGCTGTTCCCAGATTGCTCTGTTTTGACACAGCTGAGTCCCCAGTGCATGGCCAGCTCCTGACTCGTGGCCTGGAGACAAAACTCAGGCCACAAGTCCCACCCAATCACCACCTGAGCCAGCTCCTCAGGGCCTTGGTGGCAGCCACCTACAGATAACCAGAGAACCTGCAGTGTGGTATGTGGAAGTGGCTCCCCACACTGCCCCACCAGAGCCACAGCCTCTCCTGGAGAGGACATCACACCTGCCTACCCTTAAAAACCTCTGCAGAAACTTCCGGGAGCTGTTGAGGTCGATGTTGGAGATGTGGCCATACCCCCCAAGCATGCCGTCCACCGTGGGTGGGATCTGCTTCCAGTAGATCTTGGCTTTTGAATAGAACTGTTTCTCATCTTCAATCACCTCACTTGTCATGATGTCACTGGCTGTGCTGTCACGAACCACAGCTTTGCTTCTCTGAAGAAGGAAGAGGAAAAATGAGCAGGGGATCAGATGGCAGGAAGCCTCTAGGGTACAGGCCCCAAACTGTGTGAGGCACAAAACTCATCTAGAGAAAGCAATGTCCAGCCTCCTAAACAGTCACCTACTTCTTGGTTAACAACCCAGGACCCCAGACCACCAAAGCAAGGGACCCTGCAGTATGTCTGGTTTTTCAATCTATGTGACTCTTGACTTGATGACCTACAACCTCAGGACAGGCAAAGAGCCCAGAGCAGGGTCCCCTGCCTTCTGCTATGGACACCTCAGAAGACCACCCAGAAGGCCTGAACAACCATCCTGTCTCTCTTGTCCCTCGGTGGCAAGTGAACAGCTCAGGGAGGACCAGCCCTTCATTCCAGAGCAGGATCTCTGCCAGGTGCCAAGCTGTGTCCCAGGAAGCAACAGGCAGGAGCTAGGCACACACAGAACCCCAACAGTAAGGAGGACATAGCCAGAGGCCACTGAGGATCAGAGGAGGCATCCCCAGGGAAGGAACACAGGTGCCGACAGTGATGGATGAGTGGGAGTTGGCTGAGAGAGGATAAAAAAAAAATCAGGTGGAAGGCTTAGCAAGAGTGTCATAAGGAACCCTGGGCTCCTGAACACTGGGTAGCTGAGGAAAAATGTGGGAACAAAGCCAAGGGAATCAAAAAGCCATAGTCCAGCCCTGGCCCAGCCTGCCCTTCAGCAAAGTGACACTGGATTGACGGCACCCACACAAGCTTGTCCAAGTGTTGTGGCGGACACGTGATCACAGCAGTCAGAAGCGGCTGGCGCTCCTTTGCCCCAGCTACTTCAAGGATCTGACATGCATAGTCCAGTAGGAGATTAGAAAACACAAAGCAGAGAAACACAGCAGAAGGCAAGGGCTCCTCTGTCCTGAAGTGGTTTCATAAAGGAGGTAAACATTCCATTCCGTCAAGGCGACCCCTTTCCAATGTTTCCAGCACTGGGGATGGAATGCGGGCCCTACACCACTAGGCAAGCTCTCCATGGCAAGAGCCTTGTGAAAGCTCTGGAGGGCTTCTTTCTGAATGGGGACAAGCAGTGGTACAGTGAAAAACATGGTGTGGGAAGACGGAACCAGAGTGGTTAGTGGGTGAGAAGCTGAGAAGGAAGAGGAGGACTTTTTCAGAGGACCAGCCCTGAGCTGTGGCCTGCCAGTGCGTGCTGGCTGAGTAGCTCCCAAAGCTGTCAGTCTCAAAACTAATCCTAAACTTCCAATGAGCAAGGAAGCACCCAGGACAAGCCTGAAGGTGTCAGACATGAGTGGCTACAGCAGCAAGAGCCCATGCACTGCTCTCTTCCCACCCAGGCAGCTTGTTCCCACGATGCTACCCTGAACTTAAGGATCTCCACTAGAACACTGGCTTCGTGGGACAGGATCCTGCAGTTCACACTTCACCACCAGGGCCCTCAGAGCCATGTCTGATGGGCAATGACATAGGCTCTTTGAAGGTTGACAGTGTCTCACCCCAGGGCAAAGCCTGGAGAGTCAGAAAGAATGCTGGTATGCCCCAGGAACATGACCGCCTTGGAGCCTGCCTACCTGGCTACCACCATGACAGGCAGTGTTGCTGAGCATCTGAATCACAGCTCAACATGAACTGTCGACATGGGAATCTGGGAGCAGAAGAGCAAACCCAGTGAGTAAAGAAAAGGCCACACCAGAATGGGGCTCCATGGGCTGCTGTGAGGTCTCCACTAAGTACACAAGAAAATCAAAGTGGCCCACTTGTCACCAGCCCCGGAGCACCACAACTGCACTCATTACAAGGGTTTGGGGCCAAAGGAAGACACAGTGCATCTTGCACCCGCACCACAACTGCACTCATTACAAGGGTTTGGGGCCAAAGGAAGACACAGGGCATCTTGCACCCCCAAGGGGCCTTTGGTGTAACAGGCTGGAGACCCTGGTTCTAAATACCCACTCCTTTACCACAATGCACCACCAGCAGCAGCACTGGCCCAGGGAAGACAGTGGCAGCCTTCAGCTGTGAAGTCTGTGGCCCACAAAGGAATGTGAAGACCTGTCAGTCCCCAGGGTCACCACCTCTACAACTCAGTACTGTGGCTTGAAAGTCAGACTAGACAGGAAACACCAGCCTGAACGTCACTATATACGTGGCTAGGAACTGACAGGATGACCTAGGACAAGAGGGCTGTCAGGCCTCTTCAGGCACCATAGCAACTATATGTCCCAGAGTCCTAGCAACTACCAGCGAGGACAGCATTCAGTCCACTTCCATACCACACCAACTCAATGCTGGTCCAGCAACCGGCCATGCCCCTTGCTGCCCGTAAATCCTAAGACAATTTTCAGATTTCAAAGCTGTCTTCTTCAACACTGAAAACAATGATTTCAGAGCTTTGCTTGTGGCCCATGCGGCACACAGGCATCCAACACCACTTTCGGTTCTTACCAGAGGACAGGAAAATTGGATAAAGGAGGTGTTCTGCCACTCTGCCTCCTCTGAGGGTGCCAGATCCTGTGAGAAGGGCCTTGGCCTGGCACACCCTTTGCACAGTGCTAGAGTCAAGGACACTTGCTAGCTGGGTTAGAGTGACTGAGTGAGCATGCACAGCTGTGACCATCTCTCATTCTTGGAGGAACCTACACCACCCATCCAAAACAGATGACACTTTTGGAGACTGTCCTGGAACTCCCTTCTGTAGTCCAGGCTGGTCTCGAACTCACAGAGATCTGCCTGCCTCTGCCTCCAAGTGCTGAGATTAAAGGCGTGTGCCACTACTGCCCAGTGACAATGTAGGCTGTTATCAACATTTTTTTTTCCTGCTTTACCCAAAGCCTACAACATAATTCCTTTAAATGCCAAAGTTGAAAATCTAATTTACAAGAACCCTACTTGCTTCTAGGAAGCAGCTGGAGGTTGGGGGTCAGGGTAGGCTCAAGGAACTGAGCCAGGAACACAGGAACTGAGCTCAAGGAACACAGCCAGGCAGGGATGCAAGTCCAAGGCTGATTTACTCTTACAGCTGATTCATGAAGATGTGTGCTTCCTGAGGCTCTGCCTGAACATGGGCCTTTATTGTCCACTGAGTGGCCTGAAGGCTCCTAGAAATTAGGGACATCAAGAAAAACATCACCCAACCCCAGTCAGGTGGTGATGGTGGCAGCTCATGCCTTTAATGCCAGTTTGAGGCCAAACTGGTTTACAAAGTGAGTTCCAGGACCACCAGGACTGTTAACACAGAGAAACCCTGTGAAACATCAAAAAAGAAGGAAAATATCCCCTTACTACACAAAACTGCATGGCCATGGGCAGGAACCATCAGGAAAGTGTGGCTATGTGTGCATGCTAGGCTCGCTCATGGGCAGATGGCCTCTTGCTCATGGCAGAATATCACCTGTACATCCTTGGAGTACTCTAGCCACCTGGGCAACTCCTTGTTAAGTCTCTTCTCCCAGGACCCAGAAAAGAAAATGATGTATGAATTGTCACCATCAGGCCTTTACAGTCACCACACCCTGTGACATTCCTATGAAAAAGTCTGAAAGCAAATGGAGGCAAAACAAACAAAACTCTGCCTAAAATTAGAGGCCCTCCAGCAGCCCAGTGGGCGGGGTCTGTTCTAGATCTGTGTGCACAGCAGCTGGACCTGTGAAAATAGAGTGCTCTGAAGAGGGAAGGAGAAGGGGAGGAGGAGAGGAAACATAGAAAAAAGAGAAGGTAGGGAGTCTGGCCATAGCAATACAAAGGCTGTTGTTTTTTGTTTTTGTTTTCCAAGATCCACCTCCCAAGTGCTGAGATTAAAGGCGTGAGATGCCACTGCCACCACCACTGGGCACCATATAGATTTTGTCTTTTCTACTAAAGATTTATTTATTATGTATGTATACAGTATTCTACCTAAATATATGCCTGCAGGCCAGAAAAGGGGACCATATCTTACTATAGATGGTTGTGAGCCACCATGTGGTGCTGGGAATTGAACTCAGGACCTCTAGAAGAGCAGCCAGTGCTTGCTCATAATCTCTGAGCCATCTCTCTAGCCCCCAGCCATACAAGGTTTAATACGAGATAAAAAGTGTGTCAGGCGTCAGGTATGACAGCACAGTCCTTTAATTCACAGTCCCTGAATTCAAGGCCAAACTGGTCTGTTCAGAGAAACCCTGTCTCCAAACACAAAATTATGCCGGGTATGGTGGGAGATACATTTGGAGGCAGAGGCAGAAGGATCTGAGTTCTAGCCCAGCCTGGTATCAAAACAAAACAAAACAAAACAACAAATGGCTCTGGGAGTAAGGTGAACTGGACCTGAATCTTGGCTCTACTCACCAGCTGTGTAAGCTTAGAACGACACTTAGCGGGGTGTGGTGTGTCCACCTATATTCCTAGCATTCAGGATGCTGAGGCAGGAGAATCAGGAGTTCAAGACTAGCCTAAACGATACAGTGATACCCTGTTTCAAGAAAACAAAAATAGTTCAGTTGGCCGAGTGCTTCCCTAATATGCATAAAGCCCTGGGTTCAAGCCTCAGTACCCTAAAAGCTCGACACAGTGGTGGGGTGCATGCCTGCCATTCCAGCACTCCAGAGGTAGAAGCAGGAAGGGCAGAAGTTCAAGTCATCCTAGGCTACAAAGTAACTTTGAGGCCAGCCTAGATTATATGAAACATTGTATCAAAAATAAAGGAAGAAACAACCCAAGTTACAGATGAACCTCTCCACCACACAGCCCTCAACTCAAGGTCATAACATAAATGAATAAATAAACCAAAAGTTTTCCCTCAATGTTCTTCCTCTTGTTTTTTTTTTTTGTTGTTGTTCTTGTTGTTTGTTTGCTGTTTGTTTCTTCAAGACTCTCCCTATGTAGCCCTGGTTGGTCTGGAACTCACTCTGTAGACCACGCTGGCCTTGAGCTCAGAAATCTCTGCCTCTGGAGTGCTGAACTTAAAAGGTGTGCACCACATCTGTCCGGCTTTGTTTTTATTCAATGAGGACAGTGACACTGAACTTCATGGAAAGGTTGTAGTGATTACCCGTGCCTCTGGGAAGTCAGGTGATCCACAGTAGAAGGCGTATACTCTCTTGAGCTTTTAGTTCTGAAACCAGGCACTGGTGAGATGGTTCAGCTGCTAGAGCACTGGCTGCTCTTCTCAGCACCTCATTTTGGCTGGCTCACAACCACCAGCAACTCCATTTCCTATGATCTAATGCCCTCTTCTGGCCTCCAAGGGCCCTGTACTCACATGTATAGCCCCCAAATACACATAACCAAATATAAAAATATTTCTTAAAAATCTGAAACACAACTTTTTTGTTTTGTTTTGTTTTGTTTTTGTTTTTCGAGACAGGGTTTCTCTGTGTAGCTTTGGAGCCTATCCTGGCACTCGCTCTGGAGACCAGGCTGGCCTCAAACTCAGATCTGCCTGCCTCTGCCTCCCAAGTGCTGGGATTAAAGGTGTTCGCCACCAATGCCTGGCTTTAAGCACAAATCTTAAGAGCCAAGTGAGGAAAACATTAAAACCCCCAAACCCATAGACCCTAGGAAGGTTCTATGAGGTCATATGACCAGTGAAACTGATGGTCAATCTGGAATATACAAACACAAGCTCTCCCTTCCTGTACCACCCAGAACTACCTCACATTTGACAACTCTTGACTTCTTGATCCTATATGGCTTCTGGCCTCCAGCAGAGCATTCCACAAGTACCTCCAACACTCCCACAGCAGCACCCCCCCAAGTTTACAGACAGAAAAACAGCTGAGAAACGACATGATGTGACTTAAAACACCACATAGGGCATAGGGACCAAAACTAAGGACAGGATCCAGGGTCTCAGGTAGTTTTGGGCCCTCCTAGTGGCTAGGCCCATCTCACTGGAAGAGAATACCATGCATCACTCATCAGCTACATCACACCAGTCAGGGCCTCTGACACCAGCTATTTCAACCCCTTATCAAAGGGATAAAAGACAAAATGACCTCACGGTCGGTAGAGCAGCAAAGCCTAGGCTTTTCGAGATGGCAGTCTCCCTGCAAGGAGGCTGACCTTGGCCCCAAGGGCTCATGATTGTAGCCGCGTTGGTAAGAGCTGCAGCTAGTTAAACATGATAGCAATCTGTGCGACCAGGCACTTAACCACGAGGACGTGAGCCAAGCATGGCACCAGTTCCTCACACCAGCCTTGCAGGAGTTGCTTTCCTATCTCAGAGGTGAAACTGAGGACTGGAAAGGGCCTTTCAATGGCTCAGGGGCACGGGTGGGGAGGGTACATGTCTTGCCAGCCTCCGACAACGTGGCTTCCTCTAACCTGATCCGTAGTCAAAGTCCCTGCCCCGGTCTGGTCGGTGGACTTCCCCGGGACAGGCACGTGGGACAGGCCTGGGTCACCTGACTACCGGGCCTCACCGCTTTGGACAGTTGGAGTGAGTACCTCCCTCCTCCCCAGCCGCGTCCCCTCGGTCCACCTCGCGCTACTCACCCGGGAGAGTGCTCTCGGGACCTGAGAGACAAGGGCGAGGCGAGAAGAAGGCTGGAAAGGACCAGAGCCCACGGCAGCCGCCACCACTCTACCGGACCAGACACCTCACCACCTCTGCCTTTGTCCGCACACGTCACTTCCCCGAGCCTGGAGGGGCGTGACTCAAGCTCACTCCGCCCCACGACCAGTTTACCCCTCCCCACAAGCTGATAGCCCTTCCCATGGCCAGCTCACCCCGTTCCACGTCCCGATTGCCCCCTCCCACAGCCAACCCCCCCTTCTCCACGCCCATCTCACCCCGACCCACGGCCAGCTTACCTGGCACATACAGCTCGCCCCTCCCCACGCCAAACTCTACCAGCCACATGTCCAGATAGTCCTGCCCCACCGCCAATTCGCCACTCCCCACGGCCAGCTCACTGTTCTCCCGGCCTGATCGCCCCATCCGGCGGACTCCTAACCCAGTTTTGCCTACTCGAAAGACCCTCCCGGACTTCAAGATGAAGGATCCGCAGCTGGTATCTCCCGGACTAAGTACTTGCGACAGTTCACTTAAGGATGTCTCCCTCTTTTGAGACAGAGTCCAACTACGTAACTGGGTGTTGGCCTTAAACTCTGTGATCCTTCTGCATCAGCATCGCTGTTGCTGGGGTTACAGGCACGTGCCACCACCATGCGCCATAAGGCTGGATTCTTAAAACCAGCGTTTGTGAGAGTTGTACACTTTAAAGGAGGAATAAAGGCCATTGTTGCTCAAATCCACCCATCTCTACTAGTATCTTAAAATAACCCAGAAAAGAGAAAGAAGAAACAACTTCGATAGAGGCAAAGAAGCAGAAATCCAGAATTTCCCCTCCAGAGGACTGCCCTTCCCTATCCGTTCATAGTTCTGCAGCAGTCTTGAACAGTGTGAAGGAAAGATGAGCTTGCTGCATATAAACCCTTTAACCTCGGAGTTCTAGTTGCCTTTTCTGACTAGTGGATGTAAGGATTCAGCTACAATGCATTTGTGGCATTAGCGGGTTCAGGCTGAAGCATTTGCTGTGGGCCCCCAGGCAATGAAAGCTCTTGCCCGGCCATCCCAGCACACGGGAGGCAGAGGCAGGCGGATCTCTGTGAGTTCGAGGCCAGCCTGGTCTCCAGAGAGAGTGCTAGGATAGGCTCCAAAGCTACACAGAGAAACCCTGTCTCGAAAAACCACCACCAACAACAAAAAAGCTCTCATAGCTGTTTTCACCTTAAGCTTTCCTCTGCCGGACAACATCCTGATGTTATACAATGCCTTCCCTAGGCTCTGAATACAGGAGGCACTTAAAGTAGTGTTTGCCTTTATTTTAAGTCAGGGACTTGCTAGGTAGCCCAGGATGGCCTGGAATTCATAGTGCTCCTCTTGCTTTTCGAGTGCTGGGATTAAAAGAATGCTCTACCATTAACGTACTCAATGTGTACATTAATGTAATGAAGGCTATAGAGATTTAAGAGGCAGAAAAACCCCACCCACGATGGAGTCCCACCCTAAATCTGTGTACATATCATTTGATATCTGCTCTGAAGTGTTGTAGGTCATATCTGGTCTCAATAGTTTAAAGAGCTTGTCATCAGCATGCAGTGATGAGTGCCTGTAATCCTAGCCTTTGGGAATCAGAGCCAGAATGCCGGGGTCAAAGGTCATCTCAGTAGTAAATTCAATACCAGCCTATACTGCCTGAGACCTCCTCTCAGAAACAAAAACAAAAGCCAGGGCATGGAGAGATGATGGCTTGTGGCTCAGAGTTAAGAGTACCTGCTGTAGGTAGGGTGGCAGCACAGCCTTTAATCCCAGCACTCCAAGGACTCAAACACAAATGCAATCTTGTGTGTGTATGCATTCATGGGGCAGAGGCAGGTACATCTCTGTGAGTTCAAGGCAAACCTGGTCTATATAGTGAGTTCCAGGACATCAACAGCTACATAGTGAAAGCATGTTTCAAAATTAATAATAATAATAATATGCAGGTTTGGGGGCTGCTCATAAAAGCAGATACAAGCACATACTGCTCTTGCAGAAGATCTGACTTCAGTCCTCAGAACAAACACTGTAACTCCAGCTCCAGAGGAGTCAGCGCTCACTTGTGGCTTCCAAGTGCACATGCCCACACACAGATACACACCTATACTCATAGTTTTAAGTAATTATACAATAATGACATAACTCAGTTGGTAAAGTGATCGCCTAGCATGCACCACATGAAACCAGTTGCAGCAGTGCATGCCTGCAATCCCAGTACTTAGGAGGGGGAGGTATCCTTCACTTGGTAGATGGATCAGGAGTTCAAGGTCATCCTTGACTAGTGAGTTTGAGAGCTAAGGAAACCCCGTCTTAGAAAAAAAACAAAAAAGAAATTAGTTTATGTCTCCCACTCAATATTCTAACTTCCTGAGGAAATATGTGCCTCTATCCCTCTGAAGAAAGTCGCAGAAAATCTTTCATGACGCCTCCTGTGGGCATGTGAGTGATACTCACTTTTTTTAAACCATAAAATTGTACCATACCTGCATATACTTGTCTCCACTGTACCCTCAACCCCCAACCTGAGTTCTACACTCTCATGGGCTTCCTCCAGGTCTCTCCCAACTACAACTCACGGGCTCATCCATCTACCTATCCTATTGACTCATGGAACTCCCAGAATTAAAAACCCATTAGCATCATATAGCCAAGAGAAGCAGAAAATGAACTTAACCTTGCTTTGTGGGTTTCTAGGCCCACTGTGTTCTTCCTGTCCTATGAGGGTGAGACTGACAGGAAGAAGTCCTGTCCTTCCCACTCAGCCAAGTATAGCCACTCTGGGTCTGGAAAAGTAGCTGAAACTGGCCTATTCCTCTCTGGATTAAGCATGGCTGCCCTGGCCAGGAGTACCAAGGCCTCTGTGGGTATGGGTGTGGCTGTGGCTGTGGCTGTGGCATCCAGGGCACACAAGCTCCACCTCTGTCCCCAGGCCACATTGCCCATTGCTCTCCAGTAGCTATGGGTGAAAGTGGAGCCAGATCACAATCACTCCAAGAAGACTTGCAGGCACCTGGGAGGGGCCACCAGAGGCAGCAGGTGGAAAGATGGGCTCTCCCAGCAAATAGCCCACCTGTTGGGGGGCTCTAAACTCACAGGACCTTCCAGGGCCTCACCCAGCATACCCTACAAGGTGAGTGAGATGTCTCCCAGAAATCAGTTTAGAGCTGATGATGACAATCTGAGAATAGGGTATGCTTGGGGAAGAAGCAGGCCTGGAGACTGCAGCCCCCCCACTGCCAACCACCAATATCAGAGATGAAGGGGGACTGAGGCTTTCCTCCCTAATTGGGAGTTTGATCAAAATGTGTCTTGACTTTGGATGTGGCTTGATGGTGGAGCACTTGTCTCTGTCTCATCCCCAACAGTGTGGGGGGGCAGTAAAACTGGTCTTGGCTTCTCCCGAGACCCCCTGTCAGAATCTAGGCTAGGAGGTGGGAGAAAGCCATGTGTATTTGCAGCTTGCTCTGATTCTGAGAGCAGGCTGCCCGATTCCCATTGAAGTCTACAGCCAGTAGGAGATCAGCCCTCCCATGCCTCCTTCCTCTGTGGCCTTCAGTCAGGTATGAGCAGCAGGTGGTAGTCCACATTTGTAATCCCAGAATTTGGAAAACAGAGGCAGAGGGTCAATGGAGTCTAGGCCAGCTTGTGCCATTTAGGGGGACCCTTCCTCAAAATGAACAGAGAGGCAGGGTTTCTCTGTAACAGTTCTGGCTGTCCTGGAACTCACTCTGTAGATTAGGTTGGCCTTGAACTCAGAGATACACCTGCTTCTGCTTCAAAGTGCTGGGATTAAAGGTGTGCACCACTACATCTGGCAATAGCCTTAAATTTAAGAAAAAATTAAATGTATGTATATGCGTGTTTTGCCTACATAGTTGTGCACCACATGTGTGCCTGGTGCCCTCAGAGACTAGAAGAGGGTGATAGATCCCCCCCCCCCCGGGACTAGAGGTTGAGAGCTGTACTCACTGCTGGGGCAGGATTTGGGAATCGAACCCGGGCCCTCTCACTGATCCATCTCTCCAGCCTCTACCTCCCAAATTCTGGGACCACAAGCATGGGCTGTCACGCTCAGTTTTTCAAGCATTCTAGTCAAGCCCTCTCCCAACTATGCTAAATAAGAAAGGCAGTCTTCGGCCAGCAGGTGCCCACGCCCTGCACTGTGCCAGTTGCCCGGCATGTACTAGCTCACATCAACGTCACAGCCGCCCCCAAAGGGCTGGCCTCGCCTTCGCAGTCTTTGAGCGCAGACACAGCAGGGGAGGGTACTGCCGGAGCCGGGTCGCTGCCCCTACCAGGCGCTATGGCCTGCGGGCTGGTGCGCGACCTCCCCGCGGTCCCCCTTGCCCCCGCGCGTCCCCCAGGCGCGAAGATGTCCTGAGCTGAGCTCGGACTCACGATGTACCGGCGCCAGCCCGCAGCGGGGACCCCGGTCTACGTGCCCAAGGGGTGGACCGACCGGGCCGCCTCACGCCGCTCCACTCCGCTGCTTCCTCGGCTGTTCACGTCCGACTCCCGTACGCGAGGCTCAGCCGGCGCGTGGTGGCAGAACAGCGATCGCCTGCCCTACCTGTCCCCCGGGGTCCCGTATGGGCCGCGGAGCCGCGGGACCTTGAGAACGCTGGTGCTGCCGCCGCTACCGTACAGCACGGCCCGGGGGGCGGGGGCCCGGGGGACACGGCAGCCGGCTGTATCCGTGGGCACACTTCTGGGGCAATTTCTGCCCACCAAATTCCGCGACTTCCTGCACCATCTGCGCACCAAGTACACAGAGCCCCAGGCGCACCGTGAGGCCATGGGAACTGGGGTGGGGTGGCATAAGGTGTGGGGCTAGGGTCCCGGGCTAGGGTCCCTCCCCAGTGAGGACCATCCCCAGCTCACTGGGTTTCCTCCTCTTCTTCCTTCTCCCTTTCTTCCTTCTCTTCTCTCCTTCCAGCACCCTCAGCGCCACAGTACCCCAAGGGTGCGTCAGAGCACTACCCAGGTTTGCGCAATCCCAGTTGCTCATTCTACCCAGGTTTGCGCAATCCCAGTTGCTCATTCCTCCCAGACCTGTGGTAAGTGGAGACACATTCTTGGTGAAGGAGGGGTTGCCCTGGTTGCTGCTGGAGTGGTGCTCTTTGTCTTCAAGGGACCAACCGTCGCACTCGGAAGACAGTTTTAAAAAGAAGCCTACCGCGGGGCTCCCAAGAGGCGAATTCATCACAGCCAGAAAGGCCAACGCGTGAGTAGTAGAAGTTGTGAGGACACACGTGCTATAGCTTTGTGGAGTTGGCTCTCTCCTCCCACCTTCACGTGGGTTGTGTGTGTGTGTGGTGAAACAAAGGCCACTAGGCTTACCTGTCATCACCTTTACCCATTAAGCCATCTCATCTCCCCAACCCATGAGTTATGGGAGCGGGAAGGCATTCCTTTGCTCCCTCATTTCCAGTCATTCATTGGTGGATTTACCATCCATCGACCTATTCATCCTTGCATGTGCCTTAGGCATGAACTACGAGCTATTGTAAATCTCTCACACATCTATCCATCAGGGCATCTATTGGCCATGAACCTTTAACTGCCCCCGACAGCCAGTTTTCTATCTATCCACAATTTCCCCCTGGTTATAGCTGCCCAGCAACTATACTTTCTTTCACTTATAAACCCAGGGCACCAATCACCAGAGTAATAAGGCCACCCATAAGGTTCCATCCACATCTGTCTGTATAACCATACAGCTACCCACCCTGAGATTCAGCCCTTCAGTTCAGATCCTGTTATAAATCCACCCATCGCTGCATCCTTCTCTCATGTTCTATCATTACCCACTTACGAAGTTTACTCTGTATCAAATACGAACTAAAAGGCAATGGGATGGAAGCAAGAAAGATCCTGGGGCACTTATGATGCTTACCTGAACCCGAATGCTAGAGAGCTCTTAATAGAGGGGGGAAAGAAACAGCAGGTTTAATAGGCTAGAGCAAGGGTGAAGAGCACTGTCTGGGAGTTTAAAGACTAGAGAGCTGGGAGTGGTGATGTACTAACAAACAAACAAAACAAAAAACAAACAAAAAAAACTATGTTTTTTTTAGATGAGTGTTCTGTCTGCATGTGTGCCTGCAGGCCAGAAGAGGGCATCAGATCCCATTGTAGATGGTTGTGAGCTACCGTGTGGTTGCTGGGAATTGACCTCAGGACCTCTGGAAGAGCAGCCAGTGATCTTAACCTCTGAACCATCTCTCTAGCCCCAGTGGTGCACATTTTTAGTCTTGGCATTCAGGAGGCAGAGGCAGGCAACTCTGTGAATTGGAGGATAGCCTGGTCTACATAGTGAGTTCCAGGACAGCCAAGGATCATGCAGTGAGACACCGTCTCAATAAATTAATTTAGGGAAGGATGGATAGATGGACCAGAGAACATGCATACACAGCAAGCATACTATTACTGTCCCATCTGTACTGATGCCAGACAATACTAATCCATTACTGCACATTTCTGTGTGAGCCTCAGAACCCTTCCTGACATAGTTCTTGACTAGGAGGATGGAGAGATGCCTCACCCAGGTTCAATTCCCAGCACCTACATGGAAGCTCACAACTGTAACTCTAGATCTAGAGGATCCAACACCTCACACAGACATAGATGCAGGAAAAACACTAATGCACATAAAATAAAAATAAGTAAATCGTTACAAAAAAGTTTAGACTAGAGTTGGACACTTATTGATATGTAACATTCCCTCAGTACATTCCTTTGGCTCCAGTGGTCTGCCCTAGGCAGGAAAGCCATGATCTTGTACCGGCAGGCAGAGCTGGGAGCTGCCTAAGCCTGGCCCTGTGGCCAGGACAAAGCTGAGGTTTGTATGCACACAACTGTGGCCTAACTGAGCTCCAATACCTATACCCAGGTTCTGCCCTAGTCACCCCAGCTGTGTGGCTTTTTGATGGACAGATAAGAAACACATCCTCTTCGTCTACAAGGAGATGGCACAGGAAAACTGGTGCAGATGTGTACATATGTGTGCCCAAGGTGAAATGCAATGGGTCATTTCCGAGTGACCAAGTAACCAGGCTTGCAGTCTAGGCCCTGAGGGAGAAATGAACTATTTTTAACCATTACACATAAATATAGCATGCCCTTTATGGTACACAACCCCATGACAGGCCCTATTCTAGGTGCTTCCCCACTCTCCCAGTTCCTGTGATGGCGGAATGATCCCGCTTAAAACACAGCACATGACAGGAAGGAGGAAACTGAGACGTGGAGCCTTGAGGACAGGGTGCCCCAGCTCATGTGGCATAATTGAGACTGACAACATCGTAACATCTAGAAGCTAGAGATGTTTCCTCTGACTAACATATCCTCATCAGGATGTTCTTGCAGTCCATGTCATCTCTCCACGCCAGTCCTGAGGAAGGGGTGGGGCACCATGATTTCCTGATTTCTATTTTTATCTGCTTATTTGTCAATGCATGATCTCACATAGCACAGGATGACCTCACACTGTGTAACCCAGGATGACCTTGAACACCTGGTCCTCCTGCTTCTACCTCCGAGCATCCCCCATGCCACTGTGACCTGCTTGATGACCTCCATTTTGCAGATGAGGAGACAGGTTGTAGCATGTCAGGACCTCTTGATTTCTTTCTTTTTTTTCAGATTTTTTTAATTTGAATTAGAAACAAGATTGTTTTACATGACAATCCCAGTTCCCTTGTCCCTCCCGTCCTCCCTACCACCCCCCCCACTGAAATCCTACCTATCACATATTCTTTCTGCTCCCCCTGAATGGTGAGGCCTTCCATAGGGTGTCATCAGAGTCTATCGTATCCTGTGGGATAGGGCCTGGGCCCACCCCCGTGTGTCTTGGCTCAGGGAGTATTCTTCTATGTGGAACGGGCTACCAAAGTCCACACCTATGCTAAGGGAAAACACAGAACTACTACAGGAGGTCCTGCTGATTTCCAAGGTTTCCTCACTGAAACCCATGTTCCTGGGGTCTGGATCAAGCCCATGCTGGTATCCCAGCTATCAGTCTGGGGAGCAAGAGTTCCCCGATGTTCAGGTCAGTTGTTTCTGTGGGTTTCACCAGCCTGGTCTGGACCCCTTTGCTCTTCACTCATCCTTCTCTGCATCTGGATTCCAGTTCAGTTCAGTGATAAGTTGTGGGTGTCTGCTTCTACTTCCACCAGCTGCTGGATGCCGGCTATCGGGTGGCATGTAAGTCAGTCATCAATCTCATTATCCTCTTGATTTCTTAGTGCAAAACCCTGCCCTCTGGCAGGATGTTTGAATGACAGCTGTGCCTCAGTTTCCTCCCCTACAAGTGAGAATAGTAGCAGGGCTTCATGGACATTGTGAAGGTTTGGTGGGAAAGAGCATGTCACATGATGAGCCAGAACAAGCACTTGGAAAAGGTCAACTGATGTGACTAGAGTAACCCTGTCACCAAGCAAGATCAGATCTTTCTTCCTTGCTCTGCAGACCAGGCTGGCCTTGAACTCCCAGAGATCCACCTGCCTCTGCCTCCCGAGTGCTGGGATTAAAGCCATGCTGCCTCTTCACCTGGGTTCTTTTTTTTTAACAATCTTTTTTTTTTTTAAAGACCTATTTATTATGTACACAGTGTTCTGTCTGCATGTATGCAGGCCAGAAGAAGGCACCAGATCTCATTATAGATGGGTGTGAGCCACCATGTAGTTGCTGGGAATTGAACTCAGGACCTCTGGAAGAGCAAGCCCGTGCTTTTAACCACTGGACCACCTCTCTAGCCCAAGATCAGATACTTCAAAGATTTATATTTTATTTGTTGGGGATGCGATGTGCTCATGAGCCCTGGTGCCTGCAGAGGCCAGAATACCCTCAGAGTTGAAGTTACTGGCTGTTGGGTGCTAGAACCAAATTTGGGTCCTCTGAAAGAGCAGTAATGCACTCTTAACCATTGGGCCATCTCTCCAGCTCTGTCTGAGATCTCCCAGGGAGCCCTGGCTCCCCTGCCCCTCAACTCCCTCAGCAGACTCCACAGTGCACAGGTCCTCAAAGTGAAGACTCTGCTCATCCACAGCCTCTCCAGAGAAGGCTTGAGGACTCGCAGACGCAATTGTCCTTTCCGGGTGCGATTTGAAGACGAGACCCTGCAGGACACAGCCCTCCGCTATTGGGAGCGCAGCCGTGCGTGTGAGTAGACATGTGCTTCTAGAGCCCTAAGATTCCAGAAAACTCCTGCCAAGAGTGCAGAGGTCAGAAGCGTGACTCTGGATCCTCAAAGAGCTGGGGAGGTCATTGCCTCCAAAGAGAAAGTACCTATACAGACCTTTTCAGAATATGTCAAGGAGGTTTTCAAGGACCAAGTAGGGGCCCTGAGACCCAGCAGAGGTGAGTGGCATCAGGCAGGTGGTGTCAAGAAGTAGCTGCAGGGTTGGGCATTGGTGGCGCATGCCTGCCTTTAATCCCAGCACTCGGGAGGCAGAGGCAGGCGGATCTCTGTGAGTTTGAGGCCAGCCTGGTTTCCAGAGCGAGTGCCAGGATAGACTCCAAAGCTACACAGAGAAACCCTGTCTCGAAAAACCAAAAAAAAAAAAAAAAAAGTAACTGCAGTGTTGACCCAGGAAACAATGGCAGCCCAGGCCTGGCTGTCATTAAAGAGTCCTTCCTCGCTGCCACTCGAGCTCACACAGCTTTCCAGGTTGACCATATGTCCAGAAAGTCTGAGAAGATGGAGTCTGTTCTCTTGAGAACTACTGTAAGGGTTCAGCAGAGAAACTCAGAACCCCTGGCAGAAGTGGGAGCATGGCTCTGGGGATGGATGTAATAGTGAACACTTGCTTTCCTTTGACATTTCTGACCAGGTGTGGGAGGCAGGCAGGATAATGAAGAAGACAAGCGGTGACCATTGCCACATATCCCTCTTTCCTGGTACTCAGGACTCAGTGGCCCCCAGGACCTCCTTTTAACACAAGAATCAGAGAAGCCCAACTTCCGACTAGTTATATTTGGTGCATATGTGTGCATCAGAAAAATATAATTTCAGCTAATAAATTTAAGAGTGCGTATGCCCAAGGCTAGCAAAGACAGATTTCTTGCTGTCTTTTTTGAGGCAGAGTCTCATATATCCCAGGCTGTCCCAAACTGTCCTCGGCTAAGAATGACCTTGAAGTATTGATCCCCCTGCCTCATTCTCCCAACTTCTAGGACCACAGGCAGGCATGTACTGCTATGCCTCACCCCAGCTTCTGGTTATTTGATTCAGGAGAAAACTGAGGCGAAAAGTGTTCTGTATAAGAGCCATGTAAACCTAGAATAGAGGTTAGAATGTTCCAGAAATCCAAGGAGAGCCCAAGCACTGTGGCCATATCCCATGGCACCAGGACTCAGCATGTGTCTTTTCAGACTTTCCAGTCTGAGGCAGCCCCTGGGAATCTCGGGTTCTAGGAAAAGCTCCCTGAGACCCCCCCCCCCCCATCCCTTGCAGATTCTTGGCATTTCTGTGGTGGGGTGCCTAGCCCTTCCATTTTAGAAAAAGGGGGTCTGTTGGAGGTTGAAGCAGGGGTAGGGGCAGGGCAGGGCAGGGCAGGGCTTAGTGGTAACAGCAGCAACAGTCATGGGAGGTAGTTTTAAAACCCAGGACTTCTCTGGAGGCAGCCAGAAGGCACTGGGGAGCCTGTGGTTGCCATGGAGACAGGGCTTTCGGTCTAGCCTTGCCAGCCAGAGGGAGGAGAAAGGGTGGGGCATCAATGTGCCCCTCCCCCTGGGGGGAGGGACAGGGAACTCACTCTGCTCCTCTCTCTCTTCTAGTCCGACAGAATATCTTTCCATGTGAACAGACTGCTTTGCCTTCTATGTCTGTGTCAGAGCGGGTGCTTGGGAGTGTTGGGAGATGGCTGGAGAGTCTGCCCAGAGCCCTGCGTCCCAGGGCCCAAGACACTGTAGCCGGCTCCTCATTCTGGAACTGCCCCCGAGTGTGAGGCTCTGGGTAGAGGAAGCAGGAGGGTTGTGGTCCAGGTCCAAGCTGTAGATGGGTCTGGGACTTGAGTTCACAAAACCATAGGCCCCTGTCTCCCCACCAGGGCAGCTCAGGAACCACAGATCTACTTTTCTGAGGATGCCAACATGAGCAGCCGCCTACCCTTCATCCACAGGGCCACCGCCATAAGGCCACGGGGAGGCCTCAGGACCTTCCTAGACACCCCTAACAGTGTGGAGCAGGTGGGCAAATTGCCCTGTCCCTGGAATCCCAGGGAAGCTAGCTGGTGGGCAGCCCAGGCAGCTGGCCACCAGAAGCAGCAGTCCTAAATGACTCCATAGGGGACCCTCTCTGTTGAGTCACCATGGGGCTTATAACTTGGTCTTGTGTAGCCCGGCCTCCCTCAGTGCGGAGGGAGGGGGAGTTGGGGGTAGGGGGGTGTTTGAGCCAGGCCAGCAGCTGCCTGACTGCTAGTGAGTGGGTCGGCTGTGCTTCAGCCTAGGATAGCTGCAGAGCCACCTGGGGCCTCCCAGGGGACCTTGTCTCCTCCCCTCTGAGCCTTGGAGGAACCTGTCTCCTCCCTGTCTCCTCCCTGAGGTCCCCTTGGCAGTGCCCAGCTGGGCATCCTTCTCACTCTAGGAGCCCTTTCTGCCCAGTATGATGATGCAATCCGTCCTGAATCGAGGCCGTCCTAAGGGCTACCGGCTCCTCCTGCCATACACAAACCAGCAGCAGGCTCAGAGGTGACTGCCTGTTGAAACCCCAACCCAGGGGTGTACTCAGGCCAGGCAATAAGAGGAGTGCTCCCTTGACACACCAATAAACATACCTCCCAGGTGGCTGAGATGGATCACTAGGTTTCCCAATTCAAGCCACTCTGGGTGCCTGATTTGGGACCATTTGGGGTTCCTGGGTGAGGGAGATTAGGGTGGAATCATATCTGGGATGAAGCTGTCGAGGACAGGGAATTGGAGGTGGAGAGACGAGCATCCCAGGGGCTCGGCTTGTTCCAGGGAATACTTTCCTGGCTGGTGATTAACTCTACACAACCTCAAACCTGGATCAATCCATGCCTGAAGCAGACCCGAAGCCATTACCTTAGTCTGAGGAAGTGGAAAAACAACTTCTTCTTGTCTTCAGTGCCAGAGGCTTCTCTGTCGACCATCTTATAGAGGGTGAGGATATCCAGACCCCAGCCCAGGAGAAAGAGCCCTGTGTGTGGGCAAACCTTAGCCTCTCAGCCCGATGCAGTGTTCAAATCCATATGGGGAAGTGGCCCGAGACAAGATGACAGGCACCTCCTAGAGTTTCTCTGCTGCACTAACCTAGCCACCTCCACACACCTGGGTGCCCCACCACACCATGTTCCAACTCCCGAGGGAAACTGGGAACCTCCCTCCCTTTGGAGTTTCTGCCTTGTCCTTGTGCTCTGGCCAGGTCTTTATCGCCACCTGCTGGCTCGGGAAGAAACAGCTCGGACTCGCCGCAGAGCGTGGTCTATCCGGGAGGACAAGGATGCTATAGCGGGGTTTGTGCTGGACTGGGCTGGTCATCTTGGGGACCAGATGAGGTAGGGATGGTGAAGGGCTGAAGAAAGGTAGATCTGGACCTGACTTGAGGCGCGATGCAGCAGTGTCCCCAGAGCTGCGCTGGAGCTTGGCTTGGTTCTCTTTCTGAACTTTCAGGCTGTGGTGGCATGTGCCTTTAATCCCAGGCTCCCTGTTTCGCCAGAGTGCTGCGCAGCGGGTGCCCTCTCTGCCTCGGTTTCCCCGGTCGCTTGCAGCGCCGCACCACGCCGCGCGGGGGCAGTGTTGGCCTGGCTTTGCGCCGCAAAACTTCAGCTCTTGCTCTGGATCGGAAACTTTCCCTCATTATGGATCCCTGAATCCTGGGTACCCGGCTCCTGACTGTGGGGAATCTGCCTTCAACCTGTGATCCGAGACATGGCCAACATGGAGAATCTGGGAACTCATGGAACAGACCCACGCAGGGAGAGGAACGCTGAAGCAAGACATAACACAGAGAGGCACACAGCACAGTACACACACACACACACACACACACACACACTACATACCACATATGCTACAGAGACCCCACACACAGCAAGGATGCCTCCGGCATAGAAGCAGGACACGGGTGGCACACATACACATATACCAGAGAGCTCACACACAGAGAACAGCACATACGTACCACCTGGAGACCCCACAAGCAGGGAGGGAGAATACCACAGACACACACAATACCACAATAGAGACCCCACACATATAGAGAACCATACCACAGATATTCACAAAAAATACAGCCAAGGAACACAGCACACAGTAAACACTACATCCATACCACATACAGAGCCTGTACATGGAGAAGCACACCACACATGACTGCACACACCACAGAGCTACTCCACATATATGAAGACACACCGCGGATACATATGAACATGGAAACACACACACACGAGACATTACACACATGGAGAAACAGACACCATACCCACCCACGTGGAGAAGACAGGAATGAATACACCAGAGACACCACACACAGAGCACATTCTGCAGAATCCTAGAGGTAACACACTTCAGAAATGTGTTGCACAGTGAGGCATGTACCATGGCATGGCAGTTCCTGTGGAGCCTGACCTTGGGTGACCAAGAAGAGGCTGGGGAAAGACTCTTTTCAGATGACTTAAGTCCTAGGTCTTTCCTCCCTCCTGAGAGTGACTCCATTCTCCTTCCCATAGTCCTCACGGGCTTTTTTGTCCAGTTTGTTTGCTTGGTGTCTGTGTGCTGTGTGCTTTGGGCCCTGTCTGCTCATGCCTTGCCCACCCCACCCCCAACCCCAAGCCTCCCCACCTCTCATTCTGTTCCTGACCACACAGGCCATCTCTCTAAGCCAAGCAAGGCAGGGGAGCTGGGCCTGTTGGGGTGGCGGGTGGTGTCTCCTGCCTTGTGAGCCTCTGCACCCTCAGGAGGTGGTTCCTTAGGTATAGAAGTGAGGGGTGTTGCTTATGCTGTGCATTGTGTGGGGAGCTGTGTCCAGTCCCCCTCAGTGTGGGTCTGGAGAGATGGCTCAGTGGTTAAGACTACTTGCTGCTCTTGCAGAGGACCTGGGTTTGGTTCCCAGCACCCATATCCAGAAGTTCACCACTGCCTGTAACTTCAACTTCTCTTCTGGACTCAGCAGTCACTTCACTCACATGGAATTGTGAGTGCACGCGCGCGCGCACACATATACAATAAAAAATAAATGTTTTCCAAGACAAAGTCTCACTATGTAGCCCTGGCTATTCTGGAACTCGCTTTGTAGACAAGGCTAGCCTTGAGTTTACAGAGATCTTCCTGCCTCTGCCTCCCAAGTGCTGGGATTAAAGGGGTGTGCCACTTTGCCTGTCTTTAAAAATCTGCAGAGGGAATGAAGCCAGGCAGTGGCTGTTACACAGAGGAAACAGTCTTGAAAAACAAGCAAGCAAACAAAAAACCCAAAAATTTGTATTTTCAAAACAGAGAAGCTTCCTCTATGGGGCTGGAGAGGGGGCTCAGCAGTTAGAGAACTGGCTGCTCCTCCAGAGGACCCAGGCTCAATTCCCAGCACCCACATGGCTACTCACAACCTTCTATAACTCCAGTTCCAGGGGCTCCAACACATTCAGACATACATGCAGGCAAAACACCAATGCTCATAAAACACAATTATTTTAAAAAAGTGATAATGATAGAGAGAGCTGGGTGTGGTGGCATGTGCCTTTAATCCCAGCATCTGAAAAGAAGACAGACAGAGTCTGAAGACAGCCTGGTGGTCTATGTAGTTCCAGGAAACCCTGAGAACCCTAAGACCAGAGAGAGAAAGAGAGAGACTGACTCACAGTTTCCTGAAGCCTGCCAGGCCTCAGCTGTACATGATTTCTTCAGAAGCCATGCTCAGAAGAGCTCTTCCCTGGGAAACCGAGGCCCAGAGAGGGCTGATCCATTCTCAGGGTCACAGTTATACAGAGATGCTCCCACGGAGGCTGCATTATGGGATGGGGTAGCCCTCTGTGTGCCCCTCCTCCCCCACTCCGTCACCCTCCCCCATGGGAGAGGCCACTGGGCTATCTATGTTGGTGGTAGAAGGTTAGCAATCCTGGGCCAGAGAGATGACTCAGCAGTTGTTAAAAAACACCGGCAGCTCTTGCAGAGGACCAGAGTTAGGTTCCCAGCACCCACAAGGCTGCCCACAACTACCTGTAACTCTAGTTCCAGGGTATCAGATGCCTTTTTATGGCCTTTGTGGGCAGCAGGTGTGCACCTAATGCACATACATACATGCAAAGCACCCATAGAGACAAAAATCAGGAATAAGGGGAGGGGCTGGCTACAAGCCAGCAGGGACTGCTACAGAGGCCTGACTGCTTCACGGCTCACGGCCTTGAACTTTGGCCTCCAGACAGGAATGAATTTCTGCTATGCATTCAACCCCCAATCTGTGGGACTGCTAAGCAGCTTGTCTCTTGAAGGGCCGACTAAGCACCCAGTATAGGCCACCCAGCTGCTGCCCCACCCCTGAGCTCACAGTGGACACTAGGCTGACTAGCACTGCCTTCAGGAGCCTGTGGTCCAGTGGAGACTCTGGGGACCCTGTAGGGAGGGGACTTGCTAAGCTGGCATGAGAACAAAGGACTGAGTGAGGGTCTCACTACACAGCCCAGACTAGCCTGGAACTCTTGAAAATCCTCCTGCCTCAGCATCCCTAGTACTGGGATTACAGATGATGAGCACACCAAACTTGTTTCCTAAATCACTTCTAGAACCGCCTAGCATCTGTTTCTATAATATCAGAGCAATGAGGAATCAGCCTCTAAGATGGACCCAGGGCCTGCTTCTAAAGCAATGGCAGCAAGGAGCCCCAAGGACCAGAGGAGCACCTATGTGTGCAGACCAAGGACTGTCCTCTTCCACACTGAACTGGCCTCCACTTGAAAGTGACACTTGGGGAAGTGGGCACCACACTCGTCTGTAAGGAAACCAGGGCACAGAGAGGTTTAGTAACTGGAGGAGGATGGCACAGCTAAACATCAGATCAGAAGCTCTCCAGTAAGGGCTTTGCAGATGCTGTCCCCTATTGCCTCTTGCTGCAGCCATGTTCAGGCCCACGGTGTTCTTCAACATCTGGGCAGATGTCAAGCCCTTGGGCCTTGTCTCTTAGCTGTTTGCAAACTTTCCTGCTCTGAGCACTGGGAAGAAAGGATTTGGATATAAGGTTTCTGCCTTCACAGAATTATCCCAGGACTCATTCATGTGCCAGGGTGGTGGTGTTCCACCACAATGGCCCTGGCGGCAGGTCCATTTGTGGGGAGAAATTTGATGAGGACTTCATTCTGAAGCATACAGGTCCTGACATCTTGTCCATGGCAAGTGTTGGACCAAACACAAACAGTTCCCAGTTTTGTTTATTTTGTTTTTAGTTTGGTTTGGTTTTTCAAGACAAGCTTTCTCTGTGTGGCCTTGACTGTCCTAGAACTCACTCTGTAGACCAGGCTGGCCTCAAATGCAGATCTACATGCCTCTGCCTCCCTGGGATTAAAGGCATGCTGGGATTAGAGGCGTCCACTACCACTGCCCAGCTATTTATTTTACGTGCATTGGTGTTTTGCCTGAATGTATGTCTCTGTGAGGGTGTTGGATCCCCTGGAACTGGAGTTATAGACAGTTGTGAGCTGCCATGTAGGTGCTGGGAATTGAGCCTGGGTCCTCTGGAAGAGTAGCCAGTGCTCTTAACTGCTGAGTCATCTCTTCAGCCTTCTCCTCCCCCCCCCCCCCAGTTTTTTTTTATCTGCACCAGCAAGTCTAAGTGGCTGGATGGAAAATGTGTGGTCTTTGGGAAAGTGAAGAAGATATGAGCATCGTGGAAACCATGGAGCTTTTGGGGTTCAGGAATGGCAAGGCCAGTGAGATCACCATTGCCTATTGGGACAACTCTTGACTTGCAGGCATTTTAGCCACCAGACCATTCCTTCTGTAGCTCAGGAGAGACCCTACCCCATCTGCTCACAATACCATGTGACCTCTGCTCTCACTGAAGTTCTTTGGGTTCCATATTTTCCTCATGCCACCCAAGTCTAGCTGGTTTGCAGAGTTAAGTTTATGATGATGAATAAAACCTAAATAAGAAAAAAAAGAGGGGGCTGTGATAGAGAAGCTGCCTAGACTTTCCAGAACCCTCCAGATTTCCCCTAGTCAAGAGGGTAAGGTTTCTGCTACTGTGCGCTGCTGGCCCTCTGGCCAGCCCTGACCTCTTCATTTCCCATTTCTCCATCTGTACTGTCCTCGTATTGAGTGAAGCACTGACTCTGACTGGCGGCAGGGGCTGGCATGTTGATCAGATGAGCGGGTCCCTGGGGGCCACAGAAAGGTGTACCCTTTTTCTGCTGACCTCCAGAGCTTGTCATAGGACTGTCTGGGTATTAGCTCACACGGGAGGGAGGTCAGGAGAGAACTCCACCCCCCATATATTATTCACTGTGCAGGGCATGCATAGGCTACACCTGGGACAGTGTGTGTGAAGGAGAGGAAGCCGAGGCCTGGCCCAGCCCCCAGGGCTGCAGTAACCCAGCATTTGCACCCTGGGACTATAGGCTTGGCTTGGTTGCCTATCTGGCAGAAAGCCCTGCATACAATCCCCAGAACCTCATAAATTGGTTTTGGTGGTACATGACTGTAATCACAATACTCAGGAGGTAGAGGTGTGGTGATCAGAAGTTTGAGGCTAGCCTTGGCTACATAGTGAGTTCAAGGACAGCCTGAACTACATGAAACTCTCTCTTAAAAACAAAACCCAGGGCTGTGGCTGGTTCCATGATTAAGACCACTGACTGCTCTTGCAGAGAACCTGAATTCTGTTCCCAGCACCCACATGGCAGCTCACAACCATCTATAACTCTAGTTCCAGGGATCCAGCGCCTTCTTTTGGTCTCCTCAGGCACCAGAAATGAGTGTGGTACACATATATGTAGGCAAAACAGTTGCATACAGAAAATAAAAACAAAGCTTTGAAAAGCAAGCAAATGTAAACTACATAAAGAAGCCAGCTTCGCTCACTGTCACAGCATGAGTGTCCGGGGGAGGAGAGGCTTTCGGGCTGCTGAGCTGAGATGGGGACACTGAGCCCCCCAGGACCTCATGGCAAGCGTGGGTGTTCTCATTGCCCTGTGAGGAGCCATGGACCCTCTGTGTCATGTGTCCAGGCCTCCACACAGCCTCTCAAGCTCTGATTGCAGGCCTGCCACAGAGGAAGCAAAAGAACCGGGTGGTTCTGTGGGGACTTCAGAGAGGTACAGCCACTGGGTGGGGGGGGGGGTCACACAGCTGAGCCAATGAACTCATGCAGATGTGTTGTCTGTCGAGAGCAGGCCCTGTCCACCAGGAAACTGGACACGAAGGTGACATTTGGGTACAGGTCCTCCCAGGTTGATGAAACTGGAAAGAGACCCTAGGGAGGAGAGGAACCTGGTGCACTAGGTCCCTACAATAAGCACCAGGAACCCTGGGCCTGGCTGAGGAGCCTAGGGATACAACCACTCTGGGCTTTAGCCTTAGGCTTAAGGCATTGATTGATATTTGTGTGTGTGTGTGTGTGTGTTTTATTTACTTTTGCCTTTGTTTGCTTTTTGTTAGTTTTTTGAGACAGAATCTCTCTACATAATCCTGTCTGCTGGCCTCAAACTCTCAGAGATCCTCTTTTTTTTTTTTTTTTTTTTAAGATTTTATTTATTTATTATGTATAGTCTTCTGCCTGCAGGCCAGCAGAGGGCACCAGATCTCATTACAGATGGTTGTGAGCCACCATGTGGTTGCTGGGAATTGAACTCAGGACCTCTGGAAGAACAGTCAGTGCTCTTAATCTCTGAGCCATCTCTCCAGCCCCTCAGAGATCCTCTTGCCTTTGCCTCCTGAGTGCTGGAATTTATGGTATATACTACCACACCCAGCCCTTATGTGTGTGTGTTTTAATGTTTGACAATTTCACTTAGTAGGCTGCTTTTCTCTGAGCACATACATGGGTGGGTGCCAGTGGCAGGTCTGTGAAGCAGCCTGTCACCACCAGTCAACCTAGAGCAAAG